GGGGGGGGGGGGGGGGGGGGGGGGGGGGGACCAGGGAGGGGGGGGGGCAAGCCGGGCCCCCCAGCCCCCCCCCCACCCCCAGCCAGCCGGAGGGCGGCACGAAACTCATGCAGCCGCCCGCTGGGGGCTGTGACTCATGCAGGATCTGCAGAGAGAGCCTTACCCTGTCCTTCACTATGTGACACTTTTGGGGTGGGGGGGGACACAAAGCAATGGTGGCCGGTTAGTCACGCATTACCCACGAGCCCCAGCTTACCCACGCCCTGCCGCCGGCGGCCTGTCACATGTCAAAAACCTCTTTTGGGAGAAAACACACACAAGTTAAGATGCGCTGACATTACTCACGTTACTGCCTCGTAAGCTGGCTCAGGCGGCAAATTAATTTATTACATTGGCTTTTTATGCGCATGTGGGGGCTGCAGACTGCCTGTCACACACACATGCACACAGACACACACACACACACACACACGCGTTGCATTACTGTTGGATCTATATCATCCACAATAAATGCTGACTAAACAGGCCGCCCCCGTCTGCAGAGAGGCTCCGGACATGTGGAAAACAAGATGATTCCCCCCCCACCACCACCACCTTAATGCATGCCTGTGGCGGGGGAGGGGTGGGGGTGGAGTTTCACGACATGAAGAATAAGAAGAGAAAAGGTGCTAACCACTTTGTCCTCCTTGTGCGAGGCAGCCCAGGAAGCAGGGAGGAAGAGAGAGAGGGAAGGAGAGAGAGAGAGAGAGGGAAGGAGAAAGAGAGAGTGTTAAAGGCCACTGGTATGAGGCACATGGAGATGGGTTTGGGGAAAAGGTGATGACAGGCGTGTAGGGGCGTGCAACCCAGCGTGTGATCAGTGACAGGACACGCGTGCATGATCACGGATGGATGGAATCAGGTCTGGCTCTAGGGGAGGGGCTAAGCTTACGATTGGGTGAGCCAGGCCCACCCTCCCATGGCCCCCAGAGCCAGGCGTGGACGGTCTGCTAGCCATGCTGCATTTGTGCACTTTGGTTTAGAAGGTGGGGTTAAAGATGGGGTAGGACAACGGGTGTTTTTTCTAAAAGCGACAGACAGGAAGCGCAGGGAAGCAAGACGGATGAGGCACTCCGGCGCACGTGACAGCGAATGCGTTCAGGATGCAAGGAGATTTATTCCTTACTGTGTATGGGGAGATACTCGCACCCGGTGCATTGTGCTCACGCGGAAACCCCGCCGTGCAGCGACACGCTAGTTACATCACTGTGGTCGCAGGAAATGCGGCGGGCTCATGAATGCGTGAATCGGCCGAAGACACAAACCCATAGAAATAGGTATGTTAGGATTCAAATTTTGCCAAAGAGACAGAATGGGTGGGGCAGCAATGGAAACCAATGGAGGTGGTTTATATAACTAAATGTACGTGCTAATTAGATCGTTCCGGTCGGCTGGCGCTCCCAGAGCAGGCTCCTCGCGGACTTACACTGGCCGCAGGAAAGGTACAGAGAAGTCTGATCCCAGAATGGGTCATGAACCACACACGCTATTCTGCTGTATTTTAAGAACTCATCCTCAGGGTTGTGGGTTCGATTCCCGCCACTGGATCAGAGTGTGTGGTGTTTGGGTGTTTGCCTGGGGTCCTTCCCGCAGTCCAGAGGCCTGCTGTTAGGTGAGCTGCCATCGCACGCATGTGTGCTTGTGCCCTGCAGTGTCCTGGGAGCCTGTGCCCCGTGTTTACCAGGGTAAGCTCCAGATTCACCATGATCCTCTAGCAGATTCCTGGATACAGAAGATGTCTGGATGTACTGCAGCTTGTCAGGAAACAAATGGACCCTCGTAATCTGTCACTGATTAAGTGTGCTGTTTTTATTCATGCACTTGTATTATTATTATTATTTCTGGGCACAGAGACAGCAGTGCTCACTGCTGCCCCCACTGGTCATTTTAAGTACTAGCTCCTCATCATGCCATGGCTCTGTATAGAAGTTGTACAGCCGAGACCAGGTGCTGGGGCCCCTGCAGCATCGGCCCGCCCCCCCAGCAGCTGGCACAGCTGGGTCTGGCGGAAGCGCGACAGCTTGTCTCTCGGCAGGCCTGGGCCTGCTGAGCTGCCTGCCAGGTTGGCTCCCGCGAAAGGGGGCCCCTTTCTTACCGACGGCCGGCCCTCAACGGGCCTGCTAGGGACCTCCTCCTCCTCCTCCAGGCTCCGCCATGTCCTCTCAGCATCCTGCCCCCTTCAGGAGCCCCGGATAATTAGCTCCATGTTACCCTTTCCGCTCTTGTTGCCTACGGCTGCCCCCCGAATCACACATCAAGGCCCCCCCTCCTGTCTGCCTCCCCGTGCCGTCTCGTTACTGATAAACGCTAATTAGGACACTGGGTCCAGCAGCAGCCGTCTCACAGGGGAACTCTGGGGGGGTGGGCACCATTTGAGGGATTTTCTGCAGCGGTGGCCCCCACCCCTTCTCTGCCGTGCTCCTCTTCAAGACCCCCAGTACTCTCAGTGATCACGCCAACCCCCCTGACTAATACCTCATTAACCTTTCCCAGCGCTCAGCAGGGCTACCGTAGGGTGACCCCCCCCCCCCACACACATCCTCGGAGCCTCGAACCCGAGCCCCCGCATCCCCACAGATCCTGCCCACTCATTAACGATGCCTCAAAATGCAGCAAAGCGATTTTTATCAGGCACACACTCATTTTAATTTGTCTTTTTTTTTTGGGGGGGGGGGGTGTTGTTTAGCAGTTAGCACTGACCTTGTGTGAGTCATTTGCACCGCCTGACATAAATTAGCAGGTCAAAAGGTCAAATGGCTTTAGGCGAGCCCACTGATCTCAGGTCAGATCTCCAGCCTCCTCCCCCAGGATCATGGTGCCTGCTGATATGTGTCTGGCACCACTCATGTGTGCATGACATGGGTTGCGTGTGTGAACCCATACACACCTGGCTGTTAGATTAATCAGGGCTCATCTTGGCTACGGTTTAGGTAAAGCTAATTTTTCCGACCTAAATATGTGCTTTATTTTGTGAATCTATGCCCACATAAATCACACGGCGAAACTGCCATTCGGGGAGGGGTTTCAGCTGGGGCATGATGGGAAGGCCACGCCCCCTCATTAGAATCCTGCACTGCTGTCTCTGGGTTCTAGCCAATACACTTTTTCTAATCAACAGTTAGCTACACTGGTGCCCGCGCAGTTTGGCATCCCATTCTGTCACACGTCCCTTGTGTCTGGGGGGGGTTGGAGGTTGGGGGGGCATAGTGGGGGCAGCACCGTGAACAGTGGCATATGGCGAGACATGCCCAGGGCGCTTCTGAGACACGCATGAAGAAACATTCCCATGAAAGAGGTGACATGGATAGCATGTGGGAAGGGTCATGGGGTGGGCGGGGGGAGCAGACAGACAGAGACGGGGGCGTGGCGGAGAGGGGGCGTGGTGGAGAGGGGGCGAGGCCTCACGTTGTTGGAGCGCAGGGAGACCCGGCCTCCACAGCGAGCGCAGAACTTGGTCTGGCAGTAGGAGCAGAGGTGGCCACAGCCGTCAGCAAACTTGGTCTTGCGGCAGATGCCGCAGGTGGGGGCGTCGTCCCGGTGCAGGCTCTGCTGGCGCCGGGTGTCGGCACCGATGCGACGCACCTGCTCCTTGTAGCTCTCGAACTGCTGGTGCAGCCTTCTGATAGCAAGGGGAGGGGGGGGGGGGGGGGGGGGGGGGGGGGGGGGGGGGGGGGGGGGGGCATCTGTGGGACTATGCTGATGCTACACAGGCCTGGAGCGAGAGCAGAAACGAATCTGTTTTATCTCCGTGAAAGAATGAGTCTCTATATGCCTGCATACTGCGGAGTTACTGAACACACGCTGTAGGCCTGCCTGCTACTGTAGGTCAGACTGCTGATTGTGACAGTGAAATACTATGCAGCAGTCCACTGCGTGTTCAGTCAGTGCGGCTGCCACAGCCAGCTGGCCGTCAGGAGCTGTGCAGAATGCTGGGTGTTATGATGATCAGTCTGTGTTTACCCCAGATTCACCGTGAAATCTGCACAGGGAACAGCTGTGCGCTGTGGCCTCAGCAAAGCACGCCGAACTGAGCGACCATTATTGAGTCCCATCCTGGAGGGAATATCAGTGGAGAGCACAGTGTCCCCTGCAGGCAGGGAGGCCCAGTGCGGCCTGGCGCAGTTTACAAGCCCCGCCCCTGGCCTACTTCCCAAAGCATGGCTACCGTGGCTGACAGTCCCAGGTGCGGCGGTCCGCTCGGGATCCAGCGCTCCGGATACCGGTCATTCATCAATGGGTTTTTTTTAAACCACTCTTTATTCATTTATGCTAATCCGCTCCATCTGCCGTCAAGGGGAGAGTGGATCTGTAACCAGGGAGGCACGAAACGCTGTCGTTTAGCATAAATATCGTGGACGACAGCGTGGATGGCGCAGGTGAAACGAGCCGTGGGGCTGGGGGGGTGTGCGGGCCAAGCCTCCCAGGACTATTAATCCTGGCCAAGGTGGAGAGAGAGCCACGATGAAACCAGCCGCCATTCCCTCTAACGAGGCTCATGATCTGCACCCCTCCTCTCCCGTTGAGCTGCCCCCCCCCCACCGCACCAGGATATTTATAAGGACCCCTCATATTTCAGGCTGAAATAGTAGTATTTCAATAGTGGGACTCGACGTCAATAGTATTGGGAATTTACGGCAGGTGCCTGCTGATGTTACAAAACTAAGACCCCCCTCCCCCTCCCCCCCAAAAAAAAATGGGGTGTAGGCTTCCCTGTGACATGGTGTCTGCAGATCAATGCCGTGATGGCTCCCTTTTCCAAACAAATGAGTTTCCTCTGAACTAAGTGGGTCAATACCTTAGCCGACAGCAGTGTGTGCATGCTGGCCTGGCACCCAAAAACCCAACACATTTCTCTAGTGGGGGGCAGGCTGCTGGAGGTCTTACCCAGAAAAGGCATGTTTAGACGGACAGCAACTTCACACAGAATAGTTATTTTTTTCCGCTCTCTCTCTTATGCTCCTTAACCAGCTGCACTCCTGGGCTTGGCCACCGGATGGCACTGCTACATGTCCGGTAATAGAGGACAGTGATTTACACTGCCTGATTTTTCTCCATTAATTGAACTTGGCTGGACTAACGGCTACAGGGCTGTCTTCTGTGCTCATCCTGATTCTGGATAAAATACTCCAAAAAATATCTTATAAAGTAAGCCCACGGTGCTGAAAGGCTCCCCATTCTCACCATGGGCTGACCGTCATCCTTCCGGAGCCCGACACGGTGCGGGCAGTGAGTCCACGCCAGGTCTGACACTACAGGCTGTTAGTGGGACGTCGGCCCGCAGGCTGGGGTCGTTTCCAGGGGAATTCCACTGAGAGCTGAGACGATGCTCGTTTAGCGAAGACCTGCACGGCGATCTGTCACATTTAACTGGCACGAGATAGTCGTTTAAGGAAATTTCAGGAAATTGAATCCCTGAAGGAAGCTGTCATTCAGCGCGGGTTAGGGACGATTCTGTCCACATTAGTGTCTGTACAGGTCCCCAGGGTGGGGCGAGTTGGGGGGGGGGGTCATGTATTCCTTACACTCTGAACTCAGACAATGACACCCTGCTAGAATTTTAAAGATGCCCTTCCTGCATTGTGGTGTTTAGGTTCTCCTTCCCACGGCTGACGTGAAAATGCGTGGTGCTACGGAAAGGTAGAGATAAAAACAATGGAAGAATGATATTCTGGGTGTGCGTCCATACCCAAGGGAGACAGGTGATTAAGCACCTCAAGTTTTCAGTGGAATTCCCCTTTTAGGTTAGAAGAACATGCACGTAAGATCCCCCATCCTCTCTGAAAGCAGGACGATTCTCGGTTGATACCAAGGTGCCGTAAGGCCGTTTGGAACATATGCCGTGCTGGCAGCTCCGGTGAAGCCGTGGGTCTGTCAGGGTGGGGAGCTGGGGGTTAGGGTGTGTGTGCGGGTGGGCCAGGAGGAGTGAGGGGCGTGCTTTGGGTGCTGTACCACCCAGTACCACCGTCTGCAGAGCGGTGACGCGACTCCAGGGCAAAAAAATCGGGCTCTTTTTGATTTTTAAAGAAGCATCTGCAGTGAAAATGGAACGAGCATCACGTGAGAAAAACAGAGGATGTCTAAGCGGCGAAAGGCAGCCCTTTAAACGAGAGGATCACTGGGCCAAAGCCACACCTACAGGGTCCACTGACATGCCGTTTTCTCGTTTTAGAGACAAAGAACAATGTCTCCTTCTGGGAGCCTGACTGGCCATGTTTGTCCCCAAGAACAGCTTCTCCCGCGGTTAGGAAGAGCGCTGGCAGCGTGGCAGAGCTCAATGAGGGATCATGGGAAATTTCACTTTTAAAAACTCTGGAGAAGCGAATGTCAGGCTCCCAAGTTAACTGGGTGGGGAGGGAGGGGGGCGGTCTCACGTGAAGGTGACAAAAGCGAGCGTGTCCCGCTGACACGAGTGTCAGACAGACTGAGGATTGGGGGTCTTTGGGGGGGGAAGGTTAATTCCAGTTAACCCAGACTTTCATAAAGGCACAGTTGAGGACACACCCACGCAAGGTTTGGCACAGAACAAACACAGACAGGAAAACGACACAAAGACGGACTTGTTTTTTTAGGAAATCTCTGGTCTAAATTTCCTATTTTCAGGTTTTTTTTGGAAATCTCCTGTAAAAATCAAGACGGGACCGGCTCCTTTGGTTAGGCCAGAAGTTTGACGGACAGTTGGGTGGGNAGCTGGCCAGACATTTAACAGATTAAAAGCCCTTTGGCAGACAGTGGCAATTAAAAATACTTGAAGTGGAGTGTTGAAAGCCTAAGAAACACAAAGTTACACCAAAGTGGGCAAGAGAAACCAAACTTTCCCCCCCCCCCCAGACCCCCCCCCCCCCCCAGTCCCCCCCCCCCCTTCACCACTGGCTGGTTGTTTTCCTGTGACAAAAATATCATTCCTGTGAAATGCAAAAGATGAAGAGACCTGCCTAGGCGCAGTGATTACCCCCGCACTGGCGCCCCCTGTCTGCAGGCGGCGTGAACGCCCTCGCGACGTAACCTCTCTGCTTCCTGTCAGGCTGAAGGCGCGACAAGGAGGAATGTGCTCAGCCCCGGCCCCTTGTTTACGTCCCAGCGGGGCTGTAAATTCACACGGCGCTCAAAGGGCAGACATCGATCGCTCCGGGACTGCCCCGAGGGACGGGGGGTTGGGGCGGGGGTGGGCACAGTGGAGCTGTCAGGTTAGTGTATTTCATCTCCTAAGTCTGAGCATGAAAGGAAGCATTGCTATACTCTGTGGACTGCTGTGTGCCTCACTGGGACCTGTGTCCGTATCCAGAAGGTCTTGGGTTCAAATCCCAATGGCTGCCAGAGTTCTCATATCGCTGAGCCTTTCAGCAAGACCCTTAACCTCCAATCACCACAGTGGTGATGAATGCTGGCTGACCCTGTGCTCTGACCCCAAGTCTTCCCGGATTGCATATCATTTTGAACAAAAGCATCTGCCGAATGAAGGAATGTCAATGTAGTATCACTTAGCAGTAGGTCATACCAGGCTGTGAGGAATGTGGAACGGGCCAATCAGGGATCAAAGGGAAGTGATGTCATCAGAGCGCGCCGAGAGCTAAGGAGACCAACGGGTGCTCAAAGACATAAAAGTATGTCTAATGGTGTCCAAGTGGCCACAGAAACCGTTAATACTCAACAGTCTAGCATCCTAAGAACAACCCTCTCCACCCCATACTTGAGGGTTAGCAGAAACATCAAGCTGTAAGCTCAGGTTGCTTTCATAGTAGGCAGGGAATTTCCATGGCAACTTTGGGAGTCATCACGTCTAATACTTCAGGAGAAAAAGAAACATGTTTATGTAATCACCTATCATCCTGCAGAGGTTTGTCAAGGAAGATTAAACCTGAGGCATTGCTTCGAGTTGGATGGGATGTGTGATCAGGTAACGACTGGGAATGAAAAACTGCAGCAAAATAAACATGAGGGACGAGGGGAGGGGCTGAATCGAGTCATGGAAAGGGGGCTCCGCAGAGTCGCATTACAGACAGAATTACCTCATACTCGCATAATGTGTGAGTGTGCATTAAAGGGGAGTGCCACCATGAAACCTCCCCTTTAAATGCTAAACAGGACATGATACCTGGGTCAGTGATTTGACCATGCCACACGCTGCCTGATACTACCTGTTGTCATGCGAAATTAGCTCGCTTGCTGAATCATCGATCATGCCTTGACATAGTCATTGCAAAAATCCGATTTGCTGATGTCATTTATTTATTCAAACGCATACATCTAGCTAATTCGGAAAGATGTTTGGAAATCGGAATACGTTTAGCAAATGCTGAAATTTTAGATATGTTCACATGCAAACAAGTTTCCATCCACGTTCCACAGCATTTTCAATGAGGTACAGAGAATATTCTCTCAGTGACATTTTTGTCATACAGGCAGGTAATCTTTACAGACTGAGTGATCAAACATAGTTGGCAACAGAGTTCAGAACTTAAAATTTGGTTTTACCATGATGGGGAGAAGCTGAGAAAGTTATAGGAAAGTGATATGGCATTATCTATCAATATTCAAGCCTGTGGGCACAGATCCCACACTGTACTGGTGCAGGGTTCTGATAGAGGATGTCCCTTGCACAATGGGGAAATGGAGATTCCT